AACAAAATCATACTTGATACACTAATTTAATGCAAAGTCTCAAAATTAAAATTTTTCGGCGAGTTGGCGGATTTAAACTCTGTATGGAAGGGGCGAATATTTACTATAAAACCAGCAATGGAAGATTTTAACCTCTTCTCACTTAAAGGAACCAGTTATTAATGTGCATATCTTCACGCATTTGAAAGTGAACGGACCTATTTTTTTTTTTTTTCATATTCCCCAATGTATTCTTCCAGTAACCAATGAGTGCTACAGTTACTATGGAATTCCACTGTAAGAATTCAAGACGTCAACAACCCTTCTAGTTACATTTTAAGGATAACTCATAATTTTAAAAAAATGCTTTAATATAATCTTTGTTAGAACACAATATACCATTAAAAAAATTAAAATGCTTGTTTACTAAAATTGTTGAAGAAATCACTTGCCTATCTTTCCTACTCCCACTTTCGACAGCCATCTTTACGCATTTAGGGTCAGTCTGACAGTTATCCTAGCCTAAGCTACATATTTTGCAACTGTCCACTGTTTTCATGATAGAACGGGCTGCAGGAAGAAAGAGAATATGATTTTGGATAGCAACGCATGTTTGCAAAACAGTGAGCACTGCCAAGGGTCACTGACGGTATAAACACACGTACATAAATTTCTTAAAAATAAAAACAAAGATATGTAAAAACAAAAACAAAAAAAACCCCTAATAGATAGTATATTATAACAAAGATTATATTAAGTGATTAAAATGTTTTGATGACAGTTAACATATAGGCACACCACTACCACACTACAGCCCACCGCAAAGACTCATTGGCAGTCTGCAATGCTTTCCTTTACAATCTAATATTGGCAACGTATCATAAGTTTGCAGTAGTTACCTGACTAACATCTTACTGTAGAGTCCTACAGAGGAATAACCCGCAGTTTGTGACTGATGCCTTTGAAATATTGCTACAGAATCCCTTTATGGCTTTGTTGGCATTTTGTAGAAGTTTACTTGCCTTTAATACTTTAAAGTACGTTTTAAAGTTTGTCTCACGCCCCATTTTCTCCTTTAGATTGTAATAACAGGGGTCAATGCGAGCTAATGTGTGTGTTTTGTTTGCTAGATTTTATCTTTTGAACCAGTTTGTCCAATTATGTATTGTTCTGTCTTCACCACATTTTGTTAAGGAACGCTGTAAGCACCATAGCCACTACAGCTCACTGTAGTGGTCATGACACTTGGAGTGTACCTGGCATCCCACTATTAGTAGGTCAACAATTTTGAAAGGGTCTGTTGGGTACAGCTTCCCGCCTTTATGGGCTGGTAGCATTGTTTTAAATACTTACAAAGGGCAGTCCTGTACCATAGACTCTATATGTAGCTGTACTGGTTATGGCGTTTGAAGTATTTCTTTAATACACCCATTTTCCAGCCCTGTGGAAACCAAGGAGATTTTATATAGAAACACAACAGGTTTGGACAATGCTAAACATTTTCCTGCCTGCTAATTAAATATATTTACCTCTCTCAATTGTGTCAATTTTCAGAGATTAGAAAACATCGATTTCAGCGAGGACATATCATAGAGATATACTGCTCATGTTCTGTCGATTTCTTAAATATTTTGTTATATCTTATAGCACTTTTATCTATGATAGGTTACCAAGTTTAGCAATTATACTAGTTAGTAACAGGGAAGAAACTTTAAGAAGATTAGAAGAGAGATATCTGAAAGGTTAGAGAATGGATACGATGGACAATAAGTAATGAGTAAAGTAAAGAGTGGTGAATAAGGTTAGTGAAATTGAGTGAAGGTAGTGGATGGAGGCAGGTATAGTAGGGAGAGACAGTGGTAAAAGGATGATGTAGCAGAGAGGACTATCATGATATAGCAGAAGCTCAGTTTTGAGTTAGGGACAGGTGATGAAGAATTATGATATAATGGACACCAATAGAGTCTATCAGTAGATGGGGGAGGTATATGAGCTGCCTGTAGATTGTTCAGGAGGGTACTGACAGCGACCTTTATAAATATGTTGTATCGGGAGATTTAATATATAAACACACACAAGCTACTTTAGTGGGATTCTAAACTAGTTTTAGGTTAATATTAACGGTTGATATCACTTTTAGATGGAGAATTATGATCTCTGATACATGGTGAGCTTGTGTTTATCTCTTAAAGTTCATATGCTTGGGGACAAGAAACAGTAGATTATCAAATGGTTGCATGCAAGTTATTTAGCCATTTTCAAGGAACTTATTACACAATAAACACGACAATTACATAAAACAAATTTACAGGAGGCTATATGGCAATGAAACTACTTTTATGTTAACCAGAATAAAAAAATAAATAAAAGACTTTAGAGTTGCAAGAATTTGCCTGAATCGTAGTCTGCTAAGATCTTTCTTTAACAATAAGGAGCCTTTTAACTAACTAAACTGCAGAATGACAAGAGTTTCTCAATAGGTAACAAGCTGAGGTTTCAGGGCTTCTTAACATGTGATCGATATGATTGGAGAAAAAAGAAAAAAGTAGTTTTTGCAGTGCATTGGTGTGCCAAATGTACAAGACCCTCGTAATAACAATAAGCTGCAGGTCACAGAAAAGGCAACTGCAAGAATTATGAGTGATAAATAAAGTTGGGAAAGACGGGGAGTGATCATCATCCTTCATTCCTGATATTGGCTTCTGCCTCTGAAAAACAAAATGGAAATGAATGTGTCTTGACAGAGTCAAGAAGGTCATCCCTGTCATTTTCTGGGGGGCACTTAATTTATATCAGAACACATTTGAGTCTCTGCAATTCAATCTAGAAGATGGGCAATTTTCAGGGAAAAAGAATATGTTTACTAGCTTAAAATCAGACAAACAAACCTTCCTTTAAAAATTACCAGTTAAGAAAAATATGATAAATAGTCAAGAGGGGAAAAAAAATACTGGTGAATGTCTATTAGATATTTAAAGAGACTGATTTTGTTACTGTCCATGGGACTATTTCATACATTCAGACTAAGCTCAGGTAAATGTGCCTTCACACTACTTCTGTCCACAAATACTTTTAACTTAAAAAGAAAACAAAAACACCTAAACCATTCACATAAATATCCAACAGAATGCATTCTGCTGGCATTTAGAAATACTATTATTCTGATAGGATTCTGGGAAGTCTCAGCTCTTTTACCTTCTTGTGTTGGCTTTCATAGAAGTTAAAGTGAAACAGGAACAACGTATGTCATTGTGAGTTTATATATCTTTCCCAGATTAATTATGTCCGTGAACCAGGAGATAAAAAATTTTAGGTGCACGTAGGATAGCCTTTGAAAATCCAGACCTGTTGTCATTTGAAAACCTGTTACCATTAAAAGATTTCTATAAATGACAAAAGGTCATTTATACTGCACGAAGAATGAACTGACTGACCTATTGTCATTCAAGAGCATGTACTAATTGTGTTCTTTGGACTCTATGACGCCATCATTCAGGACTCTAAAGAAAAATAAGCCTATGGGAGCCCATTATGAAATTAGTGTAGGTGAACGCAGAACAGTCCACCTCTTCAGCAATCAAGGTTGACATTACCATTCATAGGTCCAAACCGTGGGAATCCTTTGGTGATCAGAAGCAACGATCCCATATATATCTTCAGATAGGTGGAATGATGGGAAAGTCATCTACAAGTTCTAACCAATAATGATCCCAACAAAGTCTTGCACACTTGGCAAATAACACGCAAGAAAAATGAATACATAGTTAACTCAATGGAACCTCAGAATGTCTGCATATTATGTTTACTGATGTTTAATGAGGGATATTCAGCTAAGGAGATCTGGCTGCTCAATAATGGCAATCACAACGTCGCTTCCAAGAATAATTTCACAACATAGTGCAATAGTTCACAACCACCCATAACAGCTTAAATATATTCTCACTCAGCTGTACTTATACTATTAAAAACTGAGTAACAGGGAAAGCAAATACGGCTCTGTCTCAGTTTAAAAGTACCCGAAAACCACCATAACCACTGCAGTGCACTGTATTGATTATGGTGCTAGGACTATTCTATTTAAAGGGTGCAGTTTAACCAATAAAAATGTATATAATAAAGCAAGGGTTCTGGCTAGGGCCAGCTCTCAGATACACACTACAAAAACACAAAATTATCATCAATACGCAATCGAGCCACTCCGTGGTAATTAAAAGCAGATATTTTACAGCCTCCCACGGCTCATGTACAAGATAGAATTATTCCACTTGTGTCTTCACAGCGTGTGTGTATGTGCAAAAGAATCAGAGCTGGAATATATTTCTGCAGGGAGCTTAGGAACAGGGAATATATTCAAATCTCTTCTAAAGAGGCAGTATCTGTAAAAGGATGACTTTAGCTGTAAGTCTCCCCCCACCACTTTATCTCTGCCCAGCACTGTGTTAATTAGAAGTCAAAGCACAGTCATGAATTTGCTCTCTCTGTTTTTGAAGGAAAAAGTTTGAAATTCACCCCACATCCTTTGAGTTTTTGCTCAAGATTTGATAAAGTAATCATGTGCATAAGCAAACTTATCTGACTACAAAACCAAATTTAGAGATACAATACAATTAGTTTTTACTTTGTAAGCAATCAGTGTTTAATAGCCAGAGACAGAATTTAACATTTTTCTTTTTACCCAAAAAGAATCCCAAGGGGCAAATAAATTAAGAAATTATTCTATAACACATCCCACATACACACATTATTTCTATATATATTATTGATCCCGAAGAAAGTTCCAGAAACTGAAACGTCGATCCTATTTTACTGAAATTCTTCAATAAAGCATGCAATGATATTATCTTTTATATATATTAAATATATATTTTAATTTTCACATATATGGATATTTAGCCCCGGCTTATTGCACCGGGCAACATAATTTTTTGTTGGTCTGAGTGCAAGGACTCATTGGAGATATATATATGTGTTTGTGTGTGTGCAATATAGCCAAGGGACACAAAGAGAAGACAGACGTGGTTATAGAGACATGTATTGCTTTAGAAAAGCAGGTAAATATAATTTTTCATTCATGTGTATTTGCTTATTCTTTACTTTGTTTTACACACCCACACCAGAAGGGGGTGGGGGGAGGCACTGATCTAAGCTATCAGTATTCTATCCCTAGGATTTCTGGAAAAGTGCATTGGGAATGCCTGACACATGCAATTTCAAGATCTCTTCACCTTGCAACATGCTGATTGGAGAGAAAAGAGGGAACCTGATCAGTGTTCATGCAAAGCAGGCTCTGGTGTCCGTTTTCTCTCTCCTGCTACACAATACTGTCCTGTTTCTGTCATTAGCGGACTGCTCTAAAAAGGAGCTGGGTGGGTTAGAGGGAGGCTGACTAAACTCTACTGGCTGAGAGGCAACCTGACCAAGTTCATTAACCTTTTTTTTTTTTTACATACTTTGTAAAGGTTTTTTTTTTTTTTTGGCTTAGTTTTGGTTTTGTATTTGTTTAAAAGGGTTTGTATGTCGCTTCAAAGTAGTGTTACACAGAAGGCACAAAAAATATCCCCAAATTGATTGTTTAAGTAAAATGAGCTGTGACTTCTGAACATCTCTGCATTCACATGTTTTATCTTACTTCTACCCGATATCACAGTATAACCAATATTTTAGGGCCAGTATGATCACTCTGAGGCATTGTGTATTCCTGAGGTTAAATAAGTAATATAATTATTGTACAAATCTATGTCTAATACCTTTTAAGGGGAAATGTCTATGGCTTTTCTACAAGGTGATAAGCAGCACATGAAAAGAGGCACTCTTTAATATGTATAATTTATATGTTGCAAAAAAATAAAAGTGTAGCCTTTGTTAACCTTTCCTAATTGAAAGGGACACTATAGTCACCAGAACAACCAAAGCTTAATGTAGTTGTGCTGGTGTGTATTGTATGTCACTGCAGGCATTTTAATGTAAACGCTGCCTACTAACACCTCTAGAAGCGGTCACTTAGACAGCCACTAGAGGTGCTTTCTGGGTCAGTGCTGCATAATGACATTCAATGCATCTCTATGAGGAGATGCTGATTGGCACAGAGCAGCTTTTTGCAGCGTCCGCACATTAGCTTCCCAATGCTTTCCTCATCTTAGGCAAGGAGGCTGATCTCCACGTGGATTTAAGTAAAGCAGTTTTGTTGTATCTTACAAATGAGCAAAGGAAAGCAGACACACAGAACAAACGTTATACCCAAAGGATGTTTAACCTTAAGGACACATGACGGAAATATTCCGTCATGATTCTCTTATTTCAGAAGTTGTGTCCTTAAGGGGTTAACTGAATGAAACTGTGTAGGAGGGATTCCAAGGGTTATTGGTGTATGGCCTGCTCACAAATAAGCTTGGCAGTGGCTTGACTGAGAACAAAATGAAATTCCTAAACCCTGTGCAAAGTTTTGACAATGTACATTATTTTATGAATATGAATCAAATGCATTATAAAATGGAGTTTTGAATTTCAGCCAGGGTAGCAGCATAGTTGAATATGTGACATGGGTTTTGCTTTTGCTCTCAAACATTTACTTAATAAGCTGCAAATACTCGTGTGTGTCAAGTCAGCAGAAAAATATACCTTAACAATGAGAGAAAACAAAAAAACAAAACAAAACCTGCTTGTCTTACATTTAAAAGTCAATGTTTATACAAATAGATATTTCCCTTTAAAAAGCATAAGAAACAGGTCATATAAAAGACTTTCAATAACCAAGGAAAGAAGCCTTTGAGGCCAATCGTTCTTCTGTCTTCTCCAATGGGTACTTTTCCCTATAATTGTTTCGGAACCTTTTAGGTAAATATATAACCACTTATATAATTGAAAAACAGTAGCATTTTTGAAAAAAAAAATTCACATTTATTTACTGTCAAACAGGTGTTAAACTTTACACTGGATATTAGTGATGGGCTCTTATTAACAGCGGAATTAAAAAAAATAAAATTAAAATAAAAAAGAATCACTGGAAATTTGCACAAAGCTTTAATTATAAAATAAATTAATGGCTAAACAAAGGCATAAAAACCAAAAACCACGGAAGAATAATATTCAGGATTGTTATCTAATATATATATATATATATATATATATATATATATATATATATATATATTTGTATAGAGGTCAGGCACAGCATATTTCAGAATTGAGAAGTGGCTCGTGCCTACAATCCCTGTTCAATAATCTGCCAAATTTCACCAAACTTGTGTAATAAATGGCAATATTGACTCCTGAATATATAAGGTTAAAAAAAAAAAAGTTTTTGGCATCAAATTAAAAATTTTCAAGGTCAGATGAAAAAGTTTTGTGTAAAATATGCGATAATGAAGAGAATTTGCCTCATTTAATACTACAATGAACAAGCGTGTAAGAAAAAGCTTTGTGCGATCAAAATTTAACAATATTTTCTCAGAACTCAGTTTTAAAATTAATTGACAATTATGCTTTAGTTGGGACACAAATGTATTTCACCCTAGCAATAGAACAAAATATAATTTATTTAGCCATTTTCATGATAACAGTTCATTGTACAGTAGATGAATGTATGAAATAAGGCCTGTGGTTTGATTGCTAATGGTTTTAAATGTTCTTAATCTTTGCCTTAATGGAACAATTTGCAGTAAACTGCAACGCTTAAGCAGGGGGAAAAAAATCCTGCGTCCAAGCCTTGTCAGAAACTTTAAGGTACAGTAAATCTATCCCACAGGATTTAAGGGCCTAAATCTTGTATATAATACAATGCAGGCCTCACAAAATGGCAGCCGTATTTACAAACGATGTTCTTGTGCTGCTGCAGTACAATGGCTGGGAAAAAAAACAGAATCACTATTTCACAAAGTCATTTACTCAGCAGCAGATATTTTAAATACCTTGTTGGTACCTCTTTGCTTTTGTAACAAATATTTTTTTTTTTTTACATTTTTAGTATACTCTGTGTATATACAAAGTTTTTGCTTTATAAAAAAAAAAAAAAAAAATTTCACAGAACTGAAAAGTCCATTACTCTCCTGCACAATGGAGAATCATAGGTCACACTAGGTCGCCAGTTAGAACGCATGTGACCTCAGCTGAGTGAATTAAAGTCTTTTAGACCTGCACAACACCATGTGCTATCCTACAAAAAATGAAAAAAACAAAAAACAAAAACAAAAAAGAAAATCTCTATTAAAGACTTGTGACCAACTGCATTTGTCCTTCCCTGACATCTCCCTCCGGAATGCAGCCTTCTTTGTTTATGGGTAGAATATAGCCATCACTATTGCCTCTGCTTATCTGATAGTACATCTGAAGATGGTGGCCAGATCCAAGATTTGGCATGCTTTTATAGTAAACGTCCTCATTTTCACTTTTTCTCGAAGGAGAGAGGTCCTCTTCGACATCGGGGCTGCTCTCAGGGTAAGGAGAGTCCCTTAGGTTGGGCATACTAGTATACAGAGAATCTCTGTTTGGGGATTGGAGATTGTCTTCAGCCTCTGCTGTCAACTGTGACACATAGCTATCAGTTCCTTCGGTCTTCACTTTTTTCTGTGGGTGGTACAGAAGAGAGTGAGTCCGCTGTGGAATAAGTGGCGCTTCTAGCTCTTTGTGATGAATTTCTAGGCCTGGGTTGTCCACGTGCATTAAAGAGGAAGCATCTGCTACAATAGCGTCATCTTCACTGCTGCTCCCACCAATGACAGCTTTGACCGGAAGGGTCCTCTCTAAGTTGTGGTTCTTACCGCTGCATCGGAGATTGTTGTGTACTAGTTCTGAAATTATCATTTTTTCAAATGCTGTATCATTCAGACTTAGTCCACAGTCTACAACCTGTACGCCGTCGCTATAGTCCCCATTTCGCAGAGAGTAGCTGTTGTTAAAGTTACCATTTAGCGGTAGAGTATCCATTGCACTTGAGTCCCTGGCATTGTTCATTGAATGTCCTGAAACACAAAACAAATAAATGGTTCATGGTGCATTTTTCCCGACTTTTGTTCAGGTTTCAACTACAAACACTTTACTTTTAATGTCGTCTAGGACAAAGTAAAATTTGAGATATCAATTCAGAACACTTATCTTACAATGCCACATATACCGTACTTATTCTCACATCTAGCGTGGAATAAGAATAGTATTTTCTGCCCAATTTATAGAAATAATTTGACAAAACTAGTTATTCCGTGTTCTTGTATATTCAATTATTTTTTTCCCCTGTCAGTGATCACATTTTTTATTTTAATCTGACAGTATAATTTAGGAAAAAAAATAAAAAATAAAAAAAAAAGAGAATTGTCCTAAACAACACTAAATAATAAATATTGATTATATAACATACAAAACCAAAATAAAAATAAAAAAGCAAATGTACAACATAAACCAAGAAACTAGCAAGCAACTACTTTGGAAAACATTCCTAATGTATCCTTTTTCTGGGGTGGGTTTTTGAAAAAAAGAAGAAAAAAAAAAGAAACAAATGGAAAATGAACAAATACAGAGACGGGATGTTTAAACAAAGACAGCCACCTTTCACACTAGAGGGGAACAGGATCCACCAAGCAACACCCAACAACATAAGACACAGGAGCAGGTGGGAAAACTCACATCATGTCTGTCTGCTCAGGCTATCTGGCTTAAGAGTAGCTTGATATATAAAAGAAAGTAAAATGATTTATTGCGACAAGATGAATTACTAAGTTTCTCAGCAAGTATTTAGAGCAAGTGTTCAGCAAATCAGATTACTAGCAATACCAGCATTTAATTCTTGATAATGTAAAAATTATTATTTTTTTAAATTTTTTTTTTTTTTTTTTACAATTAAAATTTTATATATATATTTATATAAATATATATATGTGCCAGCCACTTCCCAAGCTATCAGAGGTCAAAGGTCACCTAAAGCCCACAGGCCGAATGATTCACGGCGACAGGGCTTGCTGAACCAATCTGGGTAATTAAATGGTTAAGCCCAGGGTTAGACTGGGCACCAAGGTCAAATGCAGAAATGTCAGGAATTTCTGGAAGAGTGATTCACAGAAATTAAGTCAAATAATAAAGATCAAATGTAGAATGGTAAGAGGAGTCAGCCATGGTGTCTTACACACTAAATTAATATAAAAAGGCGGACAGAGGCATGGGCATTAAAAATTAAAAAGAAAAATACTTCCCCCTAAACACATGCGAATAATAATAATAATAATCATAATGCGAATGGATTGTACACGCAATGATGCACAATAGACACTCATTTGCTGAAAGTAAAAAAAACCTCTCTATTCATGGTACTAAATGAAGATCACTAACAGAGAAATGCAAGCTTATAATAGGTGACGATCTTCAAATGAATCTGAACACGACGAGCATTGCTGCATTATCTGCTTACTTGGGAGAAGACTGGATCCGCTGCATTGCATGCAAGGACAGGGGCAGACTGAACCCCCTATGCTTATTGCTGCAGCACATCAAAAAGATGTTCTACGTTGCATTATTCTAATCAGATTATGATGTCATGAGAAAATAAATCAATTTTTAATAATTGATCAAATGGGGAAAAACAATCCAAAAAGTCTGCATTTCAAAACATGCAAATAAGTAAAGTTTCTGGGGGAGGGGAAAAATAGGTGTTGCTACAAAGGCTTTTTTTTTTTTTTTACAAAAATAAAACTATTTCCCCCTTTTCTATTTACCCATAGAAAATTGTATTTTTTTTTTTTCTTTAAGTTGCATGGGATATTTATAAATAATACAACCACATGCTGGATTCAATTTTATATAAAGACGAAGTCTAAGAAATTAGAATAATTTTGCCTTTCACAGAAGACGTGGGGGAGATTTCAGGAAGTCTTTTTTGTGGTATGCTGCAGAGTACAGCACAAAAGAGCATGTTTTATCTCATTTGAAGAAGCAGTTTGTTGGCTGCCTGTGATCAGGTAATTCACTTGAAGTTTTTCCTTAGCCTGTAGCAAGATTACTGTGGGAATGTATAAATGATAAGTAAATAAAACATTTCTGCTTGACAGCAAATTATTTCAGCATTGCAAGTATATCAGCAACTGAGATTGCAGTATATCCATTGCTGCTATTCAAATGTAGAGAGGAAAACAATGTCCAGATTCAATTTGAAATGAGTATGGCTTTAATATATATAATATTGTGAACCACTTGCCCGCTGAGTTTACTTTATGGTAGATATGTTTTAAATGTGCCTGTTAAAAACCATGCTGAAAAAATTTACATTTGATAGGCAAAGTTAAGTTTGACTCCCATACTTGTCTCTCTGTAGGTCGCTAGAGGAAATCACAAGGAAAGCAAAAAAAAAAAAAAAAAAAAAAAAAAAAAAAAAAAAAAAAAAAAAAAAAAAAAAAAGAAAAGCAAAAAAAAAAAAAAATACAAAGAAACAAGAGAACAGACAGTAGAAACGGGTGTTAAAATAGGATTTCCTGGTACGTACATTAACACGAGTCGTTAAATATTAAAACAGCTGAATGAGGTACATTAACAATTTACGAAAAAAACACCTTTTGTTTTGTTTTCTTAAAAAGCATATAATTTCAAGCCAACATATTTGCTAATGCAGTGTTTACGAAATCCTATAAGACTCACGGTGCAAAGTGCACCCAATAGCTCCTATCATGCACAGAGTATACCAGCAGAAACCTGCACTATACTATAGTCTGAGAACCACACAATGTCCTACTTTATTCTGAAACATGTGAACCTAAGTATGAGAGAGACGTGTACCTCTAAGTGATAAAACTCTTGAAGCTGGGCGCTTGGACCATGAGGTGTCAGTCCTGAAATAGTATATTAAGATTTATGCCACCTGCGTTAAAAACATGGATAATTATAGGTAAATACTAATTTGACCCAAAAACAACGCTATAATATAGTGCAGTTTTAAAAGACTGGTGTCAGCTTAGCTGTGAGTCTGTTAATATGTAGAAGTACAAAAGGAATGCATGGTGATAATTGGATCTTACGAACAGCAGGACAGGAAAGAATCGCAGTTTAATTAATTAATTGTAAGCACACCTGGTGAGTTAAACACAGGAGCAGAAGGGGCGTTACATACAACTGTTTC